CATCAGGGCACCAGCCACCCCCAGAATAGATTAAAACTCTTATTGCCCATGCAAGCTGGCAGAGTCAGGTCTTAAGTCCTTTCCAGAAAACCGGGAGGGTAGGGGCCCACCGCACCTCTGGGGGGAGAATATTCCAAAGGGTGGGGTTCTCTTCCTGGGCCCTGCCAGCCAACATTCTCTCACTGATGGGGTCTGCAACATGCCTTCTCTGCCTGACTGGGTGAGTTGGGTTGATGTAATAGGGGTGAGATGGTCCCTCACATAACCTGGACTCATGCCATGGAGGGCTTTAAAGGTGATGACCAACACCTTGAATTGGACCCGGAAGCAAACTGGCACCCAATGCAACTCCCACAGCAAAGGGAGCCATCCTAGGGGACCCAAGATTGTTCACACGGCCGCATTTTGAACCAGCTGTAGCTTCCAGATACTCTTCAAGGGTAGCCTCATGTAGAGCGCATTGCAATAGTCTAACCAAGAGATGACCAGGGAATAAGTGACTGACCAGCGAGCCTCCCAGTCCAGGAAGGGGCGTAACTGGCGCGCCACACAAAGGTGGGCGAAAGCCTTCCTGGCCATGACTAGCACCTGCTCCTCAAACAGGAGTTGTGAGTCCAGGAGGACCCCCAGATTACCCACTGTATCTGTCTGGGGTAGTGCAACCCCAGACAGTTATAGTATGAAGAAGGAGAAGAAAAAAAGGAAGAGGACAAAGCATACAATACAATGGAATCAGAGAAAAGAGTGTAGTTTGGGACAGAATAAAAAAAGGAAGTTGATGGCTGAGTTCAGAGACAACTGTAATAGGAATAAAAAATGAAGACAAGGAAGTAGTCACAGAAATAAAAAGAAAAGAATGATTAAGAAATATTAATGTTGTGAAACACTTGTAAAGGAGCTTTCTAATGGTTAATTATTGTTACAGTCTGGTTAGTGACCTCCACAGCAATTTAAACTATGTGTATCTCTATATCAGAGTTTATTGTATTATACATCTTTCTTTAATTGTTGTATAATGGATAAGGCCACAAATTATGCACTAAGAGGCAAAGTACTATTTTCTATTTTCCTGGATAATATAGAAATGATCAAAACAAACAAGAACAAACCAAATGAGTTGGTTTTACATAACAAACTAAACTCTGTATCTGGGTTAACAAATCACAATTGGTGTGTGCGTATAACACACTATATCAAAACAAAACATATTCTGTTTAATTGTTGGCTTGATTCTCACAACATGCTGAGACAATGGCTATGTAAGCATTAGCACGTATTATTTTTTTGATTATGTGCCATCCAGTCACTGTTGACTCCTAGCAACCACATAGATAGAACTTATCCATGATGATCTATCCCTAACTTGGTTTTCCAGGTCTTCCAACAATGCACTCATTGCCACTGTAACTGAGTCCATCCACCTTGCTGCTGGGCATCCTCTTTCCCAACATTGCAGCCTTTTCCACAGCGCGAAGTCTTCACATCATGTGACTAAAGTAGGATAATTTGAGCCTAGTCATTTGTGCTGTGAGTGAAATCAAATCTGGTTTGTTATGTTTGATGATCCATTGGTTTACCATTACCCATATACCACTATTCATGTAAGCATTACCACTACCCAGCCCCATTTCAGCTCAGTGTACGGACTTTGGCTAATCTTGAAAAGGCTAGCAGGGTTGGAACTGGTTAGTAACTGGATGGTAGACCATCAGGAACACCTTTGGTGCTCTAGGCTCAACAGGGAAATAAAAAATAACACACACACACACAAAGAGAAGAAAGCAATGCAATTCTGTCCATATGGTGGACAAGAAAACTAAAATTCCCATATAGTCATCAGGAATCAAGTTTGGCTCAGGCAGGTCTTCATCTTTAGTGTCCTGAGACTTAATCTGTGATAATCTTTCCCTTTAGCCTACCAAGAAGTAATGACATTTTTCTGGATGAAATAAAATCGATAAACTCAAAAGCCTACCTAAAGTGAAACTGCAAGTTACACCAATTGAGTGCTGTAGCTGGCCTTCGAAATTTGAGTGTTGTTTTTAGATAATTTAGCTGGAGTTGATTAATTCAGAATTTACTGGAAGGTTGCCACCTAGTGGGTTGCATATGTAAATTTTTCCCTTGAGGGTGAGTAGAGAAGAGGTACAGTGAAAGCAAAAAGAATTATGAACTTTCCATTTAAACATATTTTCATAACATAATGAAAAATACTACATAGTTGTGACATTCTAAATGCAAGACATCTATTTATTTAAAATCCTAGGAGTTTAACACCTATCTCTCAGACTGCTTTTTCTGAATTATATACTGTAGGTGATTTCTTCTTAAATTAAGAAATTAATCAAATGGGGACAAGGGAAAGAGAATGATTATTAGAAATTCTTGTGCCACATAGCTCTATTTTGATTGTGCATGATATAGTAAAATATATTTAAATGGTTGGCCAGTAAATTAACATTAGTGTGAACTATGCTCATTCACAGGAGGCTACAGATGCCAACAAATGGCAAAAGTAATTGTGGAAAATGTATACAAATTAAAGTGCAATGCCGGCCATGTCTACTTAGAGGCAGCAAAACAGAATTCACTCTTTTACAGAGATATATAGCATTGGACTGTCAATCTTACTCATCTGAAAGGTAATTTATGTCTTATATATTTTTCTTCACTTAATATTCATTTATTATCTTTGTCCATATTATAAAGTACTATTTATTAGTGTCTAATAATTCATATTAAATGCATCCAGTAATATCAATTCATATTATATGCATCCAGTAATAAAAATATTGTGGTACAGCCATACATTTAATACTCTCTTCCCCCTCAATTCCTATGGGAAAATTGTTTATTTGCCTTCAGCCAGTTATGTTGCTGTTATTAAATATGTATTATTCATATCAGTTGTGCTTTAAATTATTATACAACTCATTCTTGCAAAACTGTGTGTGATGAAGTAGCTTTTTATACTGCTTTAGGACTGAAATTTGGAATCAGTTGTTAGATTTGTTTCAAAGACCTTTAGAAAATCTGAATACCTGACTTTATCTGCAGTGCTGTGTATTAATACTGCTGTAAACAAATGATCACTGGAGCACAGTATATTTGTAACTTATATTACATATCATACCATATTCACTCAGGATTTAAAAGATAAAAATGTAGATTTCCATGGATTTGAAAGTATACTCATATATTAGTTATGCTTCTCAATTATCTATTTATAGAACAAATCCTAAAACTTGCCACTTAGAAGTTCTGATCCAGCACTGTACAGTGCAGCCATTCATTTTAATAACAATAACATTTATTAAATGTTTAATTTGGGTTAAAAAAAAGTACCCACAGAGTTCAAATGACTAAATAATTTCAGAACCTACCACCATTTACCATACCTACAACCTACATAAGATTTATTACAGAAAGTAGGCCACAAATCAAAATTTTAAACTACTTAATTAATATTATGGTAAAGATGCCCCTGACATGGTGACTATACAGCCATATCCATACATTTTACTGGCAACTGTACGGAAGTGGCTTGCCATTCCCTTCTTCTGGATTATTTTTTGACTTCTGTGTCTATTCTATAACCCTGGAATTCCCTTGTGTTCTCCATCCAAGTACTAACTAGCCCTGATTTTGCTTAGTTTCCAAGCCTTGACAAAATGATCAGGTGCTGCAGCTATACCCTACAGAGACTGGTGACAGCATCAATAGTATGACAGCTACACAAACATGTATTTTACATACACTGGACACCACTTAGCTTTGAGAAACTAAATCAACATTAGGCATGTCTTGAAGCTGCTTCTTTTCCCTATGGTTTTACAAAAGTTTTTAAAATTCAAAGTCACTGACTTCTTTCATTACAATTTATGGGAATGAAAGTCAATTATATCTCTTAGTGGAGAGACACTTTGGTCTAGTGGTTAAGGCACCAGGCTAAAACCTAGGAGACCCTGAGTTCTAGTCCCGCCAGAGTCACAAAGCCAGATGGGTGACCTTGGGCCATTCACTCTCTCTCAGCCCCCGGAAGGAGGCAATGGCAAACCACTTCTGAAAAACCGTGCCAAGAAAACCACAGGGACTTGTCCAGGCAGTTGCCAGGAGTCAACTGACTCGAAGGCACAAAATAAATGAAGCCACCTCGTGGTGTTGAAAAAAATAAAATTCCTGTTATTACAATAATTCCCGACAAGTTTATTAAAAGCAAAAGAAAACCTTCAGCTATGAAGCCTAGCAGGCAGACAATGGAGGAGAGAAGAGAGGAGAGAAATTGCAGAGGGCAAACAAACTGAGCATTTACAAGACTATTTATTACGCACACAGTTTATCAGGGGCTAAAATCGAAAGGCTGGAGTTACTCCTTATGCAGAATCTCTGCTGATCTTTCTTTACTCAACTTACTCCACGGCCCCTCTCCGGTCCTAGCATCCACACACCGAGTTCTTGAGGGCAAATCTGTCTTTCATTATTTCGCCAGCGACGCTAGTCACGATATGGCAGCCAGCCTCCTCCTTTTTCTACAGAAGTAGAAACCGCCTCCCCAATTCCTCTTATCAAGGTAGTAAAGGGATAAGAGGCGACCCCCCTGCCCCCTCTCCCTTTGCGCCACTCTCCTTGGCTGCCTTCAGGCTCCACGCTCCCCCTCGGTGGGTCCGCGGGAGAAGCGTGGCTTTGCTGAAATCGATTCGCCTTTGCACTTTCCCGCGCGCTGCTCACCAACCCGCATCGACTGCAGGGTTAAAATGAAATTTAAAAATCCCCCTTCCCCCTTTGACTCGCTTCGGGCCGGGCAGGTCACTCGCTGACCCAGGGAAAAGCCTCGGCCAGCACCACTCGCCGGAGACAGGCGCAGGAGGCGGGTTGCCGCGCTCCCGCCGCCTCTCCGCGACGAGCACTAGCGGCGGACGTGGTCTAGCTCGAGGTGTGGGCGGGGCTTTACGTGACCACCCTCCTCGCTCGCGGTAGGAGTGGGAGTGCCCACCCCTAGAGCGGAAGTGCCTGACAAACGGAGGGACGGGCTGAGCTGGCGCTGTCTTGCCTCGCGCGGGGCTCGAGCGTCGCTGTCATCGCTTCAGCGCGGGAGGAAAGTTGGGCTTGTGCTCCCCTTCGCAGGCGGCGTCTCGGATGCGGCGGAAGCAGAAGCGGCTGCTGCAGGCGGTGGGGCTGGCGCTGGCCGCCCTCGTCTTCCTCCCCAACGTGGGGCTCTGGGCGCTGTATCGGGAGCG